GACTGTAAGAGACACAAATTCGGTCATCATTATAAATTACAGAAAATCTGCACGTTGACATAGTGATGATCGTGTACAAACAGAAGGTAACATGGTGCTAACAGATGACTACTCATGTAAGTCAATGTAAATTAGAATGTAAATAACACTTTTTACCTTTTTCACACGTGATATAATAACCAAAGACAGATAGAACATCGCCTTTCTTAAGTCCTGTAGGAATCTGAAAAGAAGTAATGGAAGTCTGAATCAAGATCTGTCAATACACAACCACCTATATCAAAACCAACCAAACATTGAAGTGATGTGTCGTCATTCGCATTATCTTATTCAAAGACAACTAATCACACTTACAGTAAGAATACTGATCTCTTCGCTTCCCCAAAAAAAACTTCATCTAATTTACAAAGATATTCTGACTCGCCTCAGTTAACAGCTTCAGTGAAGTTAGATGAACGATCTATTTATCATGGAATGAGGCCATACGTAGTAAGATGAACATCTACATCCGTCGGTAGAAGTGTGATTGTGAATAACTGCAATGTCGTTGAACGTGAATTTGTTGTCCTGTTGTGGAATTGTGTTTATGTGCTTACTTATATCAATTGCCGTTCATTTCTCAACAGAATTCATTCCACAATTCGTTCTGATTACCTCGAAACAAACAAGGTGGATTGAGTTCAACGCTCATAAAATTCATCATCTCACCAGCCATTTCTAGTCATCCAACATTTATTGTATTCCATATAATGACATTCGAGCAAATACAATCTGAGAAGCGATCAAGATTTTAACAATATCTCTCTCAAAATATTCAATTATGAACTTTCCCAACAACTGGTATGTAGAAAGCTGAAAATGACCGTTCACGTACAGAACTCTGACACACACTCTTTGTCCTTAATTGGCTCAAAGGTATCAGAATTTGTTGGCATATTGCATTAAAACGTCTGTATGCACAATACAAAATGTTGATGTACTTTTATCCCTTTCAATATATTTCAATGTGTTTGGCAGTACTGATGTGCATGAAATAATAGAATAATCCATTCATTTGCGCAACTTACGTTCTCATAATAGAAATATATCTTCCCATTTGAGTGTATCAGGTGCATTACCTTGATTGTATCACCTGCAAAAAAGAAAACTACCGATATTTAACATTTCGAGGATTAGTGTCGAGCATGTCATTGCTAGATGTGACACTGTATGTGCCTACACACAGGGGGATCAGATTTTAGCCGATATTTACTGTGTTATCTCAAATGTTTTCTGTAGTTCGTAATGAAAATAATCTCGTGAATGTTGTATAAATGAAATAGGCATGTATCCTTCATAATGAATGGCAGATGCTTCGTTTGCTTAGTTTTCATATTCAAACAATAATTCATCTAGTTTCTAATTAGATCCGATAGTTGGAGTGATATTCGAATTGGTGGAATATTTTCTATAATTCAGCTGATGCAATCGACTCTAGAAGCAAATGACAAGAGCTGCGGTTTATTTGTTTATAATCCGAGTTTTAGAATTTATTTAGTTATAAAAAACACATGGGTATATCGATCGATCAAATGACTTTGACCACATTATTTGTTAAAGATGAGAAGTGGATACGCTTAGTACATATTGTTTTAACGACGTCTTGATTTGAAAGAATAGAAGCTAAGAATGACCGTGTAATGAGTGAATATTTAGATGAATGAGATGTATACAGAAATGATTTTCCGATGAACACATATGTACAATGTTTTTATAAACAGACTTCTCATCATGTTCCTTTGAAACCTGTCAATGAAGATGAATCTCTGTATTCGTTTATCTACAAATGAAATATGATTATGACCTAATGTATCCAAACGTATGTCAATTATTCTTTAAGTTTCAATCAATTATGAATCAACAATCAGTGGATTCTATGTGTATTTAGACACTGTCAGTTTTCCAAGAAGAATTCAATCACTGTAACTGAATAGAAAATATTTGAGTAATAACAATCAATGATGATGTAAAGTGTTAATAGTTCACATGTGATCAAACAATCATGGATATGGATACATACTTTTATTATCAATGTTTGTAGGACAAGACCTTCTGACAGCTAAATATTCCTCTGAAATAATGAAAGCAAAATAAATTGGTGTTCATGTATCTGTATAATGAATATTTACCTCTTTCAATAAACAAAATGTGTTTGGACACATGTTATGATGTTCCTTTCAAGATTTAAGTGAACCAATTCAACTAAATGAGAGTCTAAATGATCCTCATTATTATTTCATCGATATGATGATCAGTATACTCTTAACTGAACTAATTATTGTCCGTAAATGTTATCCCAATGACATTAATTTCAGTAATTGAATAAAATGGATGCCCTTCATTTTGATATTCTAGGTGTTCTAATTCGAATCAATCATGTTGTGCCAGCCTATAATTCGTGATTGTTAGTTTATTCGATGTTTGAGGTTATGCATGAGGTCAAACTTCATGATCAAACGATTATGATAATCAAGAATGTGTTTAATATCCAGTAGTTCAAGGACAGTGAATAAGAGGGACTGAACTCTTAAGAACCAAGTAAGTGACAGGAAGAGTTGAAGGATATCAAATATAAATTGATAGTTAATGTGCTTCAATAATTCAAACTGATTTTTCACACAACATCGCTTATTATTGCACCTGTGATCAGCTTGATTCGTTCAATCTATCAAGAAGTGTCGTATTGATGAAATATCAGTTTTATGGTAGTTCGAACAGATTGAAGAGTAGATAATTTCCACATGAGCATTTACATCGTTTGGTTTATTATTTCTACTCAATCAATTTGTGTCTGTTTTGAATTGGATCACGGTTTTATTAAACATTTTCACTTCACAGTAATGAATACGTGTTGTGAACACATTTTAGGGCATGAAATCACACAAATAAAATAATCACTGTGTACTGGTCAACTTTGACGAATTAATCAAGTTAAATGCCGAATCATTTATGCAAAATAAAAATGAGGAATGAAAAACATAAAACAAAATCTCATTGAATAATAGAAGAACTCACTTCCATCCAAAATCTCATTTTCACACTGATCATTGCCTGGGAACTGATTATTAATTTCTCCTACACCCACTTCTCCTTCTAAATTAATTCCACCTGTGTTTATCAAATGAAAACATGCAATTAGATTGATAATCTACAGTGAATGAATGAAAGACTTTGAAATTAACTGGAGACTAGAATGAATTGCATGAACTGTAATTAGTTTGCTGCAACACATCAAATGATTTAAAACTTGAACAAGGAAAGACATCAGTAGATGTTTTGAATGTTAAAAAATGCCTAAAACTGATCTATTGAAGTAATGAAATCGACTTTGATTCATGGAATTGAAATGTGAATAAACAAAACTCAGTGAAAATTTTATTTCGAGGAAAATAATTTTCTTACCATAAACATCTATATTGAATGTGCTGATATTAGAACCATATAATGTTAGGGGAAATTTTAAATCTATTTTCTAGAAATATGCAAACATATGGATTAGCATCTCCGTTGCAAAGTGTATTCAACTCACCTTCCCAATAACCGGTTTCTCAAACGTTCCACTATCAATTGGAGAGGGCTGGTTAAAGCGAATTAACTGTGAATAGTTATAATAATGAGACTGAATATTTGTATTGGAATCTGATTGATGACTTACATATTTATATGTGTGATTTTGGAAAATTACTTTTCCATCATTAAGGAGTTCAGAGTTTCTACAGAATTCATGACAGCCAAGAAATTCCGTTGCAAAGACAACGATCGAATAGATCGCTACCAACTGACCAAATGAAAATGTATATCTGAAATGGTTCCGATGAATAAAACAATGTTATCTCATTATATCAAATTCAAAATTGATATAATACACTAAATTGTCTTAATTAAATAGTCAATACTCACATCATTTTCTTGTTTTAGACGTTGGTAGAACGTGTTGAGTTTATATAGAATTTTGTCAAGTGTTTGCATGTTTCTTTCAGATTGGATGATTCAAATTGACCATTAAGGTCATCGAATTTCATAAAATCATTTCATGATTATTAACCAATCGTCATAGGAGATGAACTGATTGTTATGCAGTATTCTTACACTTGCTGAGGTAATATAGCCTGATATTGATCCACAGTTGGTTGAAATTCCTGACTCCCCCATTGATGAAAACTATCTTGGATAGGATTGACAGTATTTTAAACTCAGTAATTAGTGCTCATATTTTCATGAACGAACATTGTGTGTTACTTGTAATCAACTGTGAGTAGATTGTCAACGGTGTATATTTTTGATTTGATTGGTTAAAATCAAAGTAGCACACATTGTTTTCATTAGATGACTAAATTCACATTTTTATATTTGAATTTTATTTCAATGAAATGAATTCTTTCACTGGTTGAAATCATGAGTCAATTGAAGCTAGATCAGCATGGAAATATGGAAGCACCGGACGGGCGTTTCGTCCTAAAACGGGATTTCTCAGTGAAACTTTGCATACACGATCCCGCATTCCGCGAGATCCGAATACAGGACCTATCAGTCTCACGCGAGAACTGGTTGAACTCCACTAGTAACGGCTTCTCACTAGAACTGCAGGAGTGTCTCTTGAAGTCAGTCACTGGTGAGCAAATGATTATTATCAGAAGGGATTTTGTGAGCGTGAGACCGATAGGTCCTGGGTTCGAACCACGCGGGGGTAGATCGTAGATGCGCACTGTTGAAGAGTCTCATACCAGGATGGAACGGCTGTCCAGTGCTTCCAGGTTTTCCAAGGTGGTCAAGCTTCAATTCACTCATGATTTCAATCATTGGAATGAATAACAGTCCATATTTTCTTAAATCAATGATCATTATATTGGAAAAAGCCAACATTATTTATGTTTTGATTACATTTGTAAAATAGTAATTCTTGATACTATGACAGTGAATTGTATTTTTGCACCACTAAGATGTAGACTGTTATGCTATTATCATGAATCGTTAAAGCTAGTGTTGATGTTGTTCTTGTTGTTGTTGTTGTTGTTAGTAGTAGTAGTAGTAGTAGTAGTAGTAGTAGTAGTAGTAGTAGTAGTAGTAGTAGTAGTAGTAGTAGTAGTAGTAGTAGTAGTAGTAGTAGTAGTAGTAGTAGTAGTAGTAGTAGTAGTAGTAGTATTAGTAGTAGTTTTAGGTAATTTTGCAGCATATTCATTTAGGCTGGATAAGAATTCATTTGACTGTTAGTTCATTCAATCTTATACATGAAAATATTGTTTATTGGAATAGTGAGCTTCACTTATTTAATCATTATCAATTTCTCATAAGACGACTATTCTGTAATAATCTGAACTGAAACTCCATATTCTTCATATGTACAGGTTTACTAAACATTTCAAGGATGAAGAGAACATTTCACTCAGTACTAACTAAATTGTCCTGAGTTGGAACCGAGTTCATGTTCTGTAATAAAGAGTATAACGATTATTATTACATAGAATTCAGAATTGATAATGATCACACATTTACTAAGATAATAAATAATGCACATATCAATGAATGCAAACACTCCGGTGGCGTACATGCAAATATATTCAAGGATCAGTAATGATAGATCTGAACTGATTGTTTACTTTTCAATTAGGACCAAAATATAAAAAGCAGATTTCTCGAATCTAATCTATTTCTGCACAACATGCAATACATGGATTTCAGTTATACTGTGAATGGTGATATGTTTCATCTTCTTATTTCAGCAACATCTGACACATATAGACCTCGTGACTTCCAAAGAATTTCTACTTTCATCATGAGAAGTCATAATTCTTTGAAATAAAGATTTTGCATAATCATATAGTTTAAATGATATTTTTAGATCAGAAGTTTCTAAATATAGTTATATATGAACAGTGATGAACATTCTCATATGTTACCATGGCAACACTTGAAGATAGTGTGATTTGTGAAATAGGAAGGTCACTTCGTGAAGGTCGGAATGTCTTGTAGTAAGGTTCCAGGTTTTTGTCAATATAATAATACTAATAATAATGGTGATAATAATAACAACGTTGTGTGAATATAATATGTAATAAAAAGAGTATAGTCAAGGTAATTACGATGAAAAAGAATCAATATGGATTAGGAAGGAGATAATCACAAAACGAATTGGTATAATAGGTTTATAACATGCATTTGAGGTGTCTGGTGTTTCAGTCGTGGACCACGGTAGACATGGATGCTGATCATATCCCTCTTCTGGATATATTAGTTCGGTTTCCAGCAGTTGATCAACATGACTTCAGTTATGTTGAGTACCCGTAGACTATCTACTGTAATGTCCCCATATAAATCGTGCTTTTGATTCAGGCTTTCGTTACTGACCATATCAGGTGTGGATTTCCACAAATTAACTCTAAAATTACTTGATTGAGAATGTTATATTATAAGTATATGTATAGATATTTGATGATGGAATGGTTCGACCGGAAAATGTATGGAAGTATCATTGTTTGAAGTAGCGATATGAATAACTGCATTAGGAACGAAATGATTATACTGAGCAACACAGATGGACAATGAATGATGATGATGTCTGATCACTGTGGTGGAGTTGAATTGTCTGTGCTCCAATAGAGAAGCCAAGCACTCGGCACATAGAACATGGAAGATACCATATTTATAGAGCAATTCATCAATAAGTCAGTTCAAATGATACAACATCATCAACATCAACCTTCTGAGCAACAGATCTTCTCTCTATAATCTCAATTTTTGATCAGAGTTTGTAATGTTGAATATCATCTCATCAAGTGAATTGCAGTGTGATCGTCAGAAATCAATTAACTGGAAAGACAGCTTTATGATAATCAACATAATGAATGTTAAATTTATATTTCAGGATGATGATAACAATGAGGATGATCTCGGACATCATGTTCATCTTCACTTTATAAATAAATACTATGTGGTAGATGAAATCGTCATTTTTGATAGCACCCTGATCGTATATGCCGCTATAGACCTTCTAAGAAATCTTCCAGATCAATTCGTGAATATCTACAATACTGAGGTCTGAAGGCAGTTAGGACCAGATTAATTTCAATTCAGAACTGTTAAGGAAAGGAAACTTACAGAATCTTGTGATTTTGGTGGAATAGTATGAATCTAAATCACATTAGCTGCCTAACATCAATGTTTTTGGAATGATACATTAATCGAACTACTATTCAACATTTGCTTGATTAAATCAATCTACTAAATGAGTGAATAGCAAAATATCACAGTATTCAATTTGTGTAGATTTTGTTTAGTCAAAACAAAGACCGAAATGTGTACTTCTGTTTGATGAAACACAAAGATAACTATGGAGGAGATTGATTATTGAGGACACGAATTGTGATTGAATTGTGATTCATTGGTTTATTTTCACAGATTACATCTGAAGACTGAAAGGCTGAGTGAACAATAGCAAATAAAGAAGAGCTGTGATTGAATTCCGGAATGTAGTGAAATATAGATTGCTGTATATTTATCAGAATTTCCCTAGCAAGCATAAGTCAGTAATGGGAAAAATGAGTAACGTGGAATGGAAACTCATACAGCTCTGGTGTATACTAATTGGGTCTGTCGATATACGTAGTTTGTAACACCGATCGGAAGTGGAAAACCTGACAGCAGAAGTCTAAGAAGATCGAGTTGAAGAGAAAATCATGGAAAAATAAGGTGTGGATTGCAAGAATCATGCAGAATGTGATGGAAAAATGATGGAAATTCGCAAATGAAGGATTCAATGCAATGTTGTGATATTTTATCAAGGCCGCCGAATGCCATGGTATGGCCGAGAGTGTATGTATGAATGTATTGAAATAGTTATCTATTTTAACATTCCTAAGTTACTGTCTCAATCAATATTCATTGAACAGTAGATAAAGTGGCTTTATGAAGTTAATTGTCACGAAAACTAATCAATTCCATCGTTACACCAAACCTACTTCATACAAACACCACAAATCTGTAGATCGTATGCATTGAGGAATAAGATTTGCAAAAGCACTGAGAATTCTGTCTGATCCATCACATTGAATATAACATCACGTCAAGTTCTATCATTTCTGTAATATCCAATTAAATATTCAAAGTAATATTGATTAATTCTTCAATCTCAGTGTGAACAACGTGTTTGTCTAATGAACAAAAACAGGTTTGTGTTGAACTCTTTTTTGTTTATAGAATCAGCTATGATTATACTTTGTTTATCATTGATCACCTCATTCCATCTCAAATAATCAAATAATAATATGGTATTCTCTATTGTGTATCGTGAGTGTAATATCAGTCTTGATTAGAATAAACAAAACATCGCTCTCTCATAATAATTTGTTTATTTGGCCGATAATCACCTGCCCTCAAACATCAAAGATGAGTGAAATTCTCATTTTGCAATTTATTACTACTTTTCTAAAAAGAAGATGAAGTGAAAGCAAATGTTGTGGTTGTCAATTCATGGATAGTCTTGCTCCAGCTACGAATAAACACTGTGACCATTCACCAATGAATTTCAAATGATTGCAGTGGTCATTTTCTCATAAGATCATCCAGTTTCACGTCTGTGATTTATACATCTGTGAGACGTCCATTAATAAATTAGATTCTTTGAAACTCGTCTAGTTATCACGTCCTGTGTATATTGGTGAGGGAGACTGTGGAGAATAATCTTGATTAAATAATCCACAGCACATTCTGTGTATCTTTTTATACCAATCACTGTGACGGATAAACTCATTGTTAGTCGATATTCTGGATGAAGACATTTCACTATTAACCAGATGTATGCTTTCATCGAACATCAATTAAGGTTGGATATCATAGTTTAATGGAAGCAATCGAATTCTATATGTGACTGGATTCGTTTAGACATATCAGTTGATATTGTAATTTTTCTTCATTTTTCTATAGAATTCAAATGGATTTCCCCATAAAGAAGCATTCTTATTACTGATGTTGGTGATGTTCGATCATCAGAACTCCCTTGGAAAAGGACCTCATTATGTAATTGCTTTATAAAATTTGTATTTCTTTGTATTTGCGCCTAAAGCCCTCTTGTCACCTTCATGTCATATTTCCCACTTGGGAATTATCTTAAATGCTAATAGTCTGTCGCGTCTTTTAGTATGCTATTCGGTAACTCTCCCCGAGGACGGTTTTGTGCTTTATATATACGTTTTGATTTGTGTTTATTGTTATCGGTCGTTTCTGGATGTTTGTAGAATGTACTTCCCCATTCCAAGCTTAGAATTCTTCCTCTAGTTAGCGACGTCGCTAGAAATATGCCAACCACAATAAACAAATTATAGTATACGAACTCTGACCTGGAATTTAAAGAATGTTCGTGCACCACAAATGTGATGCCTGATGGCGAGGCCGAGATTATTCCGACGTCACGAGGCCAAATTCCTTCCAATAATATATATATATATATAGTTCAACCTAATATGACAATAAAGTTATGCTCATCTACATATAAAACTAATAAAAACATCTTTTCATTTTCAGTATTGATCTGTTAGTTGCCAAATTGAATACATCCAAATAAAGTATAGTACAGGAGTATATTAATCAAATTTGAGAAAACTACTATCGATCTTCGGTGAAGAATTCAATCGAAAATCCTCGCTGCGAATTCGAAGTATGAGGTTGTTAATGTTCACCTCCAAATAGCTTAATACTAAGATTTCTAATCGTCGTATAGCTAAGAACAGTTCATGACTTCAACTGTGAAAATATTAAAATCTTCACAAATCCTTCATACTAATATACATGATTGCCATTCTCTGACCAAAGCATTAAGCCGAAAACATTGAAGTAACTTTCGATTGACTCCCTCTAGCAGTTAGGTTTATTCATAGTTTTCCACCTAATATCTAGCGTTTAGATGACATGTGAGTGAGTATAGGTACGTGATATGATATCAGTATATTTAATACGAAATAGTAGTAATTCAAACACTCCGACACGAGAGACCAATGGTATAATGTACAGAGATTGAATGAAACAAGGGTTTTGTGATGTATGCAGTTGACATGATAAGGTTTGATTGGTTGACTGATATGGCCATTAATCATTCTGTAAATTTTTTATTATGTCTTCGTCATCTAAACATTTAATCCGATTAAACAGACAAACATACCATTAGTCAAAATTACTCACTTTATTACACCTCT